ACACAGAAGAAGTAAATGAGGAAGAAGAGAGCAAATGATACAGAAAGACACGCCAGAGTTGAAAAAGCAATTGTTTTAACCCTATTAAGACAGAGACCTTGCCAAGGCTTTCCCTTATCTTATTTTAGATTCCAGGAGGCTCAGGGTAAGTACAGGGGGTATTTCTGCAAGACTGTGGATGGCATAGGGTGGTAGTGTTGGGCTCAAGCCAGATCAGCCCGCTGACCAGTCTGTTAGCCTGGAAAGCTCCATGTCACAAGAAAAGTGGAGTGTTGACCTCAGCAATGCACAGAATTGAAGAAACAAAATACATGAATAAATGAAAGAATGAATGAAGGACACTTGGTAAACTCAGAAGAAGAAAGGAAGTTTCAAGAAATACCTTCACTAGGGTCAAAGCCCCAGTTCTCAGTGCCAAGAGAACATGACTGAGTGTGGAAGGCAGCTGTCCAGACTGCCACAGTCAAGGGCAGTACCGCCATCCCATGCTGGGTAGGAAGCCAGGGGCAGACTTACCCCAAGGCCGATGAGGAACTTCTGCTCGCTGCCAGACACCATGCAGCGGTAATCGAACACAGGGCGGATCTTTTCCAGGGTTTTAGCGGTGAGCAGTGTGGGCTTGTAGCTGAAGATATCAATGTCTGTGCCCTGCAGTCATGGGTCAGAGAAAACACACACTGAGTGCCTGTATGGAGGTGGGAGAGGAAGGTTGGGAGAGGGAAGGGACACGAAGCACTAGCTCTCTGAAACATGTTCCCCTACATCCCTTCTTTACCTAACCATGCACCAAATGGGCTCTATTGCCATCTACTTGGAGTGTTCCTGTAGGACCTATTAGGAGAGGCTGGGAAAGGGAAGAGTACCAAATCCTTACATACAGACTGATTTGCCGGAGCTGTAAGAAAATGTCACCAGAACATAAAAGTGACCCCTTCAATAAAACTGAAGGCAAGGCTTCTCCAGCAGTCAGTTTAAAACAGTTAAGTGATCTCTCCACCCCATTCAGAAAAATGTACACATGCTATTCTTTGGAGGCCATCTTGAATCTCAGTCTCCAGTCCCAGACCCCTACAAAACCAGTACATTTGCCCGTGATCTAGGCCAGAGTCAAATGAGGCCCTGGTGAAAGCTGGAGGTTAGGTAGTAGAAAAAAAACAGGGCAAAAGCACCCTGAGGACCATCTCACCAGAAACATGACAAGGAAGCTGGAATTAGGCCAGACCTGCTGGGGGCTTCTCTGGCAGCTCCCTTCACCCTCTGACTAAGATATCCTACACTCCATGTCTCCTTGGAAGGCAAATCCCACAGGACCCTGAACTTTCCAGGGTGAGATAGCCAGCACTACCCTTTTGTGGCAGTAATGCTGAGCAAACACATCTCAAGACTACTCTTCAGTTGGCTCGATGTGCTCTTGGGAAACCCAGCACCCTAAAACAAAGCTTCCCCCCATGACAGCCTCAGCCCAGCCCCTCAGAGCCTGGGAGCAGCACTTGCACAAGCCCCCTGGAGGCCACACATCTGAGGGCCTCAATGGTACCATCCATATCTAGACAGGCCTACAGAGCTTTTTATTTTCACCAGATACAGACATACCTGGATGAGTTCAAAGAACTTAGATTTCGGGTCTGAGAAGGAAGGAGCAACTCGAGCCTGGTCTGGAATCTGAAATGAGACAGCAAAGAGCTTTGATGTTCAAATGTCATTTTGACCAAGGCCGTGTTTGAGTGTAGCAAGTGAAGGGATAGATTCAGACTGTGTACTTACATGTTCATGGGGCGGAATGGCACATAACAAAGGAGGCAGAATGAGGGGGATGGAGGTGGATAATTCAGTCACTGCTCCTTTTCAGACCCTGTGATAGCTCATCCCAAAGGCCACTTACCCTTTCTCTGGGGCTCTTTGTGGTCAATGTTGCTTCCACAGGGCCACCAGCTGCAAATGAAGCCTATCCACCACCCCTCCCACCCCCAGTCCTTTCTGACCCAGAGGCCAAGGAGGTAACTCCCAACAGTGCTGAGATGTCCACCTCCGGAATGATGTGAGGGCAGCAGACATTTTGGATGGGGGAAGACTCTGGTGACAGACTGACAGTCACTCTCATTCACCACAGCTCCCTTCCCTGGAGCAACAACGGACTGGAGAGACACTTACCCCCCAGAGTCGGAGGCACTCTTTCCGGATCTCCGCCTGCCGAGGCTCACTCAGGGTCCTGAGGAAACGAAGTCAGTGATTACAACCTCCAAGAGGCACAGAAATGTACCCCCTGTGCACCCCTCAGAAGCCCATAGA